AGAGCGTTGATTTAGGGCTTACAAACTGACACAGTGGCTCCGACTGAATCTTGAGGCCACTGAAGCTGAAAACGATGGAGGAAAGGAGTGCTGAGTGCAACAAAAAGCCTTACGTTGCCAGACCAGCAACCAGCTACTCCTAGAACGCCATAATATTCAACAAATGAGATGGCATATCTCAGGTGAGAAGAACAACCTGGTGAAGAAAATACTGGGAATAAATTCATAGGCGTGAATTGATGAAAACCTCCCCAAATGCTTATGGGACTCCGTAATGAGGTTAATAGAATTCATCTCTCTCACACACCAATGCAATTACCTAGTACATGAACAATTCCCCACAGAATCGACAATTGGAGGCTATGCACTAATTAAATGAGACAAAAACTGACAAAAGTGAATCAGTAGACTGTTACTAGTTTGACAAGATTTGCAAAAACAGCACCACTTAACAGCACAACATTCACTACCCAGTTGGGAATACCAAGAACCCCAAACCGTCTTCCAAAAGGCAATGAACAACAGGCAAACAAGGTATCATTTGTGGAAAATAAACCCACCAGCAGTCGATAAATGCCAAGGAGGAAGAAGCGAATAAAGAGCTCAGAAACAAACCGGAATGTCTCTTCCCAAAAAAATCAAAGATTCCCATCCAAATCTCAATGTTTAATCGACACAGTGACCGCGACGAAGATGTCACCACTAATGATGTACAAGCAGTATAAACGAAGACCGTACAAAACTCCGATTAAGGAAGAGAAGAGGACACTATTTACAATAAAGGACATTTGAAACCGGAAAAGCGAGCAGTCGCCCGAGTAGAGAGAACAGCTAAATCGTTAAAACGATGCTATCTTGAAGGAAGAAAGGGTGTACAGGGATGGAGGAAAGAGATTAGGCGACTGTCAAGCCGACTCCCACTTCGTACTTCGAAGCTATGCTGTTTCCCAGAGCAGTAAGTGTGAAAGTCATGGGAAAGGGGACAAGGCGTTTTTCCAGCATGGCTGCGATGTTCCAGTTGGAATCAAACTGTGCTCTAAAGGTGACGTTCGACTTGGGAAGGTCGTACTGATAACCAATAGTGGAGATGTTTGTCTGTTGTTGATAATTCGATTCCAGCTCAGCAGCTAGTTGAAGATTCTCGTTAACTTTCATATGAAAACTGGAATGAAATGCCAATTGATAGGGCCGGGCGGTAACAGAAAACTGCCAAAAATCGGAGACGTATTTACCTCCGAGACTCCAGACACCATCGTGACCCCCAGGGACGTGAGGTGAGAGGTGGTAGAAAAACATGGAGCCCATATAAAATCGCCTCGACATTTTGCGCATTGTATCGACCGCCAACATCATCTGAGAGCGTATCAGATCAGGATTGATTAGGGTGACGCCAAATTGCCACTTTTCTCCACGTAGTTCACCGGCTATCTGCTGTCCAGCCATCGCACATTTCTGAATCTGGGCTAGATAGCGTACGCGACACATGGGAGAGAGTTGATCAACGATTTGAGCCTGAAGCTGACCGTTGGGTTGAAGTTCACCCATGAGGACGGGATATGCCTCAGTTTCAGAGACTTTTTTGTGACCTGCATAAGTAGCCCCGAAACGATAGCCAGCGGTTTCGCCACTACTAAGTGTTAACGAGTGACTGACCTGGAAATGAGGTGAAAGGCCTCTGTTAATGAGCAGCTTTATCCCAGAGAAGGGTACAGGGAAGATGTCATGCGCCTTGTTGTGGATGTTTTCAATAGCGCACGGCCCATCATCGTAAGGTTTAACCTCTGATGATGCGAAAGCACTATCCGTGGAATCCATAGCAAAACAAAATGCACAAGTTGAGACCTCCGACAAAACAAGTTTTGAACTCGCGGACAACCCGACACGTTCCCAAACCGAAACAACCGCGTGAGGGCCGAGCTACTAAAATTCGATTAATGTTCGAATAAATAATCGGAAGCGTTGTAAGCTAATAAAAACCGAAAACCAAATTTTATGTATTTTTTAATTTAAGACGCCGGACTTTATGCGACAAAGAGATCGATGGATTTATAATAGACACATTTGAAATTTTGTTCGCCTTAGACACCCATGAAACCCATCATCAGTGGTTTTTGCAATAAAATTGTAGTACTTGGTCCTTCCTTTATTCTGCCTGAATACATTTAGTCAACACAAGCTGTTT